TACCGTGTACCACATCGTGGCTTATTCACTGTAGCCACTCTGGTCGGAAGGAAACCATGTAGAGGTCAACAGATAACTCGGAGACGAGGCATGAAGAAATGCACAGAATAGAGTAAATGTCTCGTGCCTTCCACGTTGCGGTCCGAAAGACTCTGCAACTGATTGGTTGGAGACAGTGAAGGATATGGCAACGAACCGCTATTAGTGGAGTTCTTATTGTCATTTTTATCAGGTCAGATCGCTTGAAACGATATGTATGCAGTGTTCGATTGTGTACTTTGTGTGTTGACCATAGAGGTTCACCTTCTTCTACCTTCCTTTGAAATAGATCCAATTCCTGTCCACCTTGAGTTTTACCACTAACCTTGCATACATTGCGAGTTTGGCAGCGATCGTTGAAGTTCACCTCACTGTATTTCGCTGTACGATGATGATGATAATGATTACATCGATGGGTTGTATCGTTGTATCGCCTGAAAACAAGGCCAATTTCGGAGTACCCGTGTTATCTGGATCCAGATCGGTCTCTGATTGGGGTCAACGGATGGACGATGTTGGTGTTCCCCCCTTCGCCTCCTTTAAATTCTCCAAGCATTTATACGATTCCTTATAACTTTCTTTCGCCTTCTGTCCTACAACCAGAAGATATCGACGGTCCCCCGGCCTTCATTTTGAGAATATTGTTTGCCTACAATTCCCCATACTAGGAATAAACTGATAGATGGTATTTCCCAACCGATGTCTTTGTTCCCTCCGGATTTGTTGAACTGGAGAACAAACTAAATATACTCGTTCAAGTCTCGCCCATGCGTACGCACTTACCCGCAATGTTTCAATCTTACTCATCCGAGAGTGGAAGCCTCGACGATAGGTTGGTGGCAGCGCAGCTCGTAGTTGTCGCAGAGCATCATTCAACTGGGCCATACGTGAACGTTCCCGGTCGTTAGCCTGTACGCGTCGCCATGTTCGACCAATCACGGAGTTCCGTGTGATCACGGCTCCGTGCAGGTGTACGTCATTTTTCTCAGACCGAGGCAATGGGCACCCGACCCATGGGGTCGGATTTGCAGTGACAGGTGAGCAACTACAACCGGGTCTGTCGCACATTCCTGGGCCAGGGGATTCTCTGAATAATGTATATGCTTGCCCGTTGTGCGCTGGCGAATAAGCGGGAATCTGTTTAAGGAATCATAGGAGATCATAGATGAAATGATAGAGCACGGCAGTTGTAGTTTGTTTAATAAATATCCAGGATTGAAAGTTCTCCAAGTCTCGTTAACTGGTAAGCATTACTTTACCTAGCTGGATAAGACCATTCTATTTGCTGACATGGCTTACATGTAATTCGGTTGGTGGATATACATACCACAGAGCGGGGGAGGGGTGTCAGTCAGTTGCGACGGCAGGTGTGGAGGGCCGACATGAAAACCAGGTGGTGAAGGACAAAAAATCGCCTTAAATTCGGGCATTAGATTACCATGAGTACTGAGTAAATGAGNTAAATGAGAACTACTGCACCTGGATCCTGGACACTCTATCGGCCAGAACTCGAAGTTGGTGAGTAGTAAGAGGATAAATGACGACGTGTATTGAAGGTCAACCATGTTGTAAAGCAAGACTGACGCAGTTATACAACATCATAACTCTAATCTCTTTGGGGAAGTAAATGGCCAGTGAATAAAAGTTTTCAGAAATGGTCCAATAAATTTTCTCCGCTTTTACCATTGCTAGGTCATAATTCACCCAACTGTAAACATTCAGACCAAACCGGAATGCAATTCATCAATCGGAAATGCGTCAGAAGTCGTCTTGTGAGTTTGCATGTCAGCTGAGCTATCAGCCATATTTCTCTAAAAAGGATTGTCTAATTCAGTTAAAACAATTATTTTTTAGCTTTAAGTTGTAATCCCTATGTAAACACAAGCGATTTATTTCATAGGTTAAAGGGATCATGTTGTCGACTTTCTATTGATTGTGTATTCATGTTTGTCGAACAATCCCCAGTCTCTCACTTAACCGGGGACTGTGACTGGTTCTGATCTGGTAGAATGCACTTTCTCATCTTGTGCGTCTCGCTGTTGTCAGAATCCGATAACTCTTCCCTCCGTCATTTCTAGTCAATAACAGACAAATAAGGGAAATCGCAAATAAACCTTACGCTATTCGCATTTAACTCACAGTTACTTGTGAGTAGTGGTGTAGGATAATTGGTATTGATTGATTTCAACTGACTGTCGTTCGAATTTCACCTTCACGCACAATCTTCAGTTCATCGATTCAACCATACACACTCGGAAGCACTAGACTCGAGTTTCGCTCTCTCATTGGAACTCATCAGTAGTGCATATCCACCTTCCCGTGCTTCCGAATGTATGGTTAAATCGATGAACTGAGGACCGTGCGCGAAGATGAAGTTCGAAGGACAGTCAGTTCAAATTAATCCACACCAATTATCCTGCACCACTACACACAATTGACTGTGAGTTAAATGCGAATAATCGTTCGAGCCTGGTAGATTTGTGGCAAGTCATCCCATAACCTGCATGGAAGTCCTGACTTTGTGGGAGACTTTCGATTGGAGTCCGTCCGCCAAATGAACTGACTGATTATCACTGAAGACGACACCTGAGCAAAGATGAATTGGCAATTTGGTTCAACTATGGTATGAGCTGGTTGGCACAGCGGTAACGTACACCTCTTCTATCCGACGGGTCCAAATTTCAAATCCCAGACGGGCCGGTGGATCTGTACTACTGATGAACTCTAATAAGAGCGAAACTCGAGTCTAGTGCTTCTGAGTGTGTATAGTTGAATCGATGAACTGAGGATTGTGCACGACGGAGAAGTTCGAAGGATATTTAGTTCAAATCAATCAAAACCCTAGATTAATGATACTTTTAACTTAACTTATTTAACCAGATGATAATGAAGATAAAGCATAACAAAGCTAGGCTGCACGACTCATGCCAAGGCAGATTTCGCTGCATCTCAACTGGTGCAATACGGCAAAAAAACTACAGTTTATATCGTTGAACAGTGAGTGCATCAGGTTACACACGAATACGATAGGACCGAATCAGCCCATACTTTCACCACTGCCAAGCAGTGATGCCTGTGTCATGTATCGCTTGGCATCTGTTGACGAATCATGGTCTGAACCCGATTTAGGATCATCTATGGCAACACTAACCCCAGGCTGCTTAGGTTCGCGGAGTCGGTTGCAACTAGAAAATTGAAACCTGACCTGTGTGTGTGTGTGTGTGTGTGTGCAAGAAAAACTGTCAGTCACACCATCACTGGCAGTGGTAAAAGTGTAATAATTCGGCCCCGTAGTATTCCTGTTAAACGATATAAACTGACGTTTTCTAATTGAAATGCAGCGGAATATGTTTTGACGCAAATTGTGCAACCTAGAATTGTTGTGCTCTCTCTTCAAACCTCAAATTACTTCTTGTGTGGAACATGCTGTTCTCATGGGCATATTACTAGACAGACATAGTTAAGAAAAAATATCACTCATTCTATTTGGTTGAAATTTAAAAATAGTGAAATATAATAGTCTACATACCCAGTGATCTTCGGTATAAGAAAACATAGTCATAGACTCAAGGTAAAAGATGAGCGATTTCTTTTTCATCTCAAAATCAATCCCTTTTTTCTACCGGTCGAATCCTACAAATCCGGGGTTTTTCGATTGGTTGCTTTATTTTGCGCACGGCATGTACACGCCTGCGCGCACGCAAAGCGCTCACGGGTGTCTCGTGTGTCTGTGTGGGGAGAAGAAGGAGTGGACAGAAGCATACAACCGTGTTGGGGGTGTAACATAATGTCAAAATCAACCAATCAGAGTCTCAGAGAAAGAGTCAATTTTTGCGTCAGAGGATCGGTACAACTGTCTCCCTCCCCCGGGTTGAGGGATTCCAAAATGACTTTGTTCGACTAGTGCATGCATAGGACTGCAATGATGCGTGTGTGTGTGTGCACAAGTGTCCCGGGTGAGTCTGGTCGGAGGAAATTCGATCGCATAGTTCATTCCCACAAGGACGAATGAGGGAACCGTTTTTGCTCAGACACCTGTGCATTTTCATTTCAGTAAGGGACAACCGACCAAACAGCACTAACAAATCTCCCTCCTCGAGAAGGAGACTGTGATAA